CTGCGCGTGTAGCAGCGCCGCCGGCAGCCCGCCGGCCCCGCCTCCCGCGGAGCGCTTCACGCTGGTCTACAGGTTCCCGGGGATCCGCTTCTGCCGCGCGCTGTCCCGCCTGAAGCTGCTGCAGACCAGCCTGACCGTGCTGGCCCTGCCGCCGCTCGGGCTCCTGTACGCGCAGGGCCAGGCCTCGCTGCTGCAGCTGCAGCTAGCGGGGGGCGCGGCCGCCCTGGCCTTTGCTGTGCTCTACGGCTTCAGCTACTTCCTGCGACGCCTCATCGGCCTCATCTACCTCAGTGAGGCGGGCGACGTGGTGCGGGTGGCGCATCTCACCTTCTGGGGCTGGAGGCATGAGGTCTACTGTCCCACCACCTCTGTCATGGTGCTGCGGGACACGGGGGACAGGCATGATGAGCTGCTGCTCCAGTTCAAGCGCTATGATAGCCCACAGGTGCTGTACTTCACGCTCAGGTTTGGGCAGGTCGTGGACAGGCAGAAGTTCGAAGAGATATTTGGGCAATTCCAGTGACCGTGAGGGCGCCTAGTTTTCCAGCAGTCCCACCTGGACTGTGCTTCTTTTTGGTCCGTCACAGGTGTCGAGTTACATCAACTTGTGAGCACCTTAGAGCTTGAAATAGTTGCACCTCTTTCCTACATTAAATACTCCTCCTGGCAAACGTGCTTCAGTCTGTGTTTGTGTAGAGGGGGAGGCAGAAATGCAGCAGCCCTGTGGAAGGAAGCAAAATCTTTCCCCTTCCCACCTGAAGCCTTTAGGTAACAAAAAAAAGGAGTTTGGCAGTAAAGAGATCTCAGCTGGAGGCTCATGCAGGTTACCATTTTACTTCAGTGTTCAGCTGCACGGACGCAGCTAGTGGCAGGGTTTTTTTTTTGGTTTTCAAAGCTCAGTGCCAACAGTTGCTGGGCCCTTGGAGCATGGTGAGCAAGCCCTTCCCCTGATTAAATAGCAGCTTGTAGCATAATACAAATTAACATGACTTGTGAGGAGATGGCAGCTTGTAGTCTCTCTTGTGCTGTTAATTGAGTAATGCAATTTTTGCATTTACAGAAAAACATGATGGCTGGCTTTAGTCCACTCATATGACTCCACAGGTGTAAATACAAGCAAACTGCGTGAGAAAGTTGCTTCAGGTAATGAAAACGGCAATTTGTTCCACAGTGTTTTGAAAGATCTTGTGGGGCAAATTGTGACAACATCCAGCTATCAGGAAGTAGGAACAACATACAGGT